TATTTGATATAAGCTTTGAGCGAAAGTTACTGTATATAAAAGTATTTCCTTAATGAATATCAGCAATATCGCACAATTTAGCTAAAAGACTTGTGAGTTGAAGCAAAGAGTTCAATCCATCCACTACTTTCATATGGGTGATTCCTATTTCTTTAATAAAGTTTAGTTTAGTTTGCTCATCTATGTTTAATCGCTTGCAAACTCGAAATATGTTTCCAATTATATCTTCAGAAGCGTAACCAAGGCGCCACAATTTCGTGAGAATTTTGTAAGCCTTGTGTATATCGTTTTGTGTACAATGTTGCAGCATATCTTGGATAAGCATTGGATGCGGTTCGTCACAAACTTTAAACACATTTGAACCCGTAATAGATCCGAAACCTTGAGCAGTCGATTGCAAATTGTTCAATGCTTGCCTCATATCACCTTGCGCGGTAAAAACAATTGCTTCTAATCCATCTTCTTCATAAGAGAGATTTTCTCGTTGGCAAACTTCGATTAATTTAGCAAGTATTTGACCATCCGAAAGTTTTGTGAAACGTAGCATCGCACAACGTGACTGTATTGGTTCAATAATTTTTTCGCTGGTATTGCAAGCAAGAGCGAAACGCGTTGTATTACTATAAATTTCCATTGTTCTGCGAAGTGCTTGTTGAGCCCCTTCGGTCATGCTATCGGCTTCATCTAGTATAACTATTTTATGTCTTCCTCTTGGCAATGTAACCTTTTGCTGGGCGAACATTTTTATTTTGTTGCGAACTACGTCAATACCACGTTCATTAGATGCATTTAACTCGAGCACGGCTTCTTTATAGCTGTCTCCGAGCAAAATGCGTGCCAGACATTGGATGGTTGTTGTCTTGCCTACACCTGGAGGACCCTAAAAGAAAATAGCACTGCATGCAAGCTTCCATACTTCATAAGTAATTACATACCGCTATTATAATATTTGGCGCATTTCCTTGCGTAGCAAAAATTGAAAGGCGGGCAATTGTATCTTCATTTCCAACGATCTCCTCAAATCTTATAGGCCGATATTTTTCAATCCACGGTAAGTTACGACGCTTCAACTCATCTGCACTTGTCTCTAGTTCCTGCGGCATTTTGTCCAATAAATGAAAACGATGTTTAAACCTCTTCAAAACAAATATTAGATCCAAAAAACGAAAAATGCCGATTTGAAGTGCGGCTTAGTGACGGCACGATTAATCGAACAACCGATTATAATCGGTTAATTTCATTCGGTTAACGATTTAATTCTATCGAAAATTTTTCTTTCGATGTATCGAGCGATTAGCCGATTAGTTTTCAATTGGGATGTTCACAGTTCGTTCCAAATAGTGTCTCAAAATGTAGACGTCTACATTTTAAGACGTTTTCTAACCGTAAAATCTGTGGTGTTGTTGTTTCCCATACAAAATTGGAAAACGACGCCGTCTACATTTTGTCACACTCAAAGGTATGTTTTTTACGCGTCTACATTTTGCAACCTCGCAGCAGGGTTGCATTATGGCAATACTAATCGCATTTTTTTTATTTATTGGGCACGTTTTCTATATTTGCATTTAATTTGAGCGCAATTTCTGATGAAAAGAAATAAGTCAAGGAAAAGAAATAACAAATATTAGGAATTGGTAATTAAGTTAAATAATTACAATTTTCAGAAACAAAATCGAAAGGCGACATATAAAAAAGCACGCAAAGAAGAAATGTCTGGCAACACCAGCAAAGTTTTGAGACGATTTTGCGACGACTGCTAGAAAGGGGTGCTCACAGTTTGATGCTAAAGATGTCTCAAAATGTAGACGTCTACATTTTCAGACACAATTTGGAACGAACTGTGAACACCCCAAATATAATCGAAAAGAAATCATCAAAATTTTACTACTTTATGGGATGTTTTTGCTTACGCGTAAAAGCACATTTAGCGCATTTGGTAATTCTCTAGGGTGGGGTAACAACCCCTAAACAAGGTGCGGAAAGTCGGGAGGGGTGCCAAACGACGCGTTTCGGCCCCCCTAATAACAATCCGGAGGGGGGGGGGAAATATTATTAACCATTTAAAAGTTATGAACAAAAAACTTTTGTTAAATTTCGTTGTATTCTATGAGCAATTACACCAACAAAGATTCACAAAATCACCTGTTCTCACTTTTTAAACACTATTAAAATATATAATTTAACTTATTTATTAAAGAAATACATAGTTTTATCAACTTAAGATAGATTATTTTGTTATCAAAAAGTTGACAATCTTTGCGAGCTGAAACGCGAGATTCCAAAATAGCTATAGTCCTGCCACTGTATTAGTATTTCGTAATAATTCACTTTCCCTTATGAGATGTGTGCACTGTTCAATGCTTTTCGGTATCTTCTTTCGTTTAATATATATATAAATAATGAAAATTTTAA